TCGCGGTGGATGCTGCAGTGCGCCCACTTCATATCTGGAGCAACCTCTTATTCATGCAACTATACCGCTTTGTCGGCTTGTCATCGCTGTAGCACCGTCTGTACAAACTCCAATGCATTCATTTTATCCAGTCGATGCAATTCTCTTCAATAAATTCTTTCAGAAGCTGAAATACGTGCTCTCCTGTAGTTCCTGTTGGTAGCCGCTTACAGAACAGAAAGTCCTCATGGGACGTACCCTCAAACTCGTATCGAAAGCAAACGAGCAAATTGGTCAAATCAAAGGCATCTATAAACTCATCTAATTGTAGCTCTTTTGCCAACGGTAAACAAAGTTCTTCACAAGTAGTGTGGGGCTTACCTGCTTTAACAATCCGCAAGCTTGCATTTTCCCTCATTTCCGTTTCAGGAATCCGTCTCAGAAGTTTATTATTTATTACGATTTCATGCGCATTTACTTTTCAGGAATCCGTCTCAGAAGTTTATTATTTATTACGATTTCATGCGCATGGGAGCGAAACTCAGAGATGCTCTGTGTATTTTTATCAAATTAACTTAGAACAATCCTTAAATATTTTTCTGTTATCTATCATGCTGTGCTCACGGGATTGCCAGTGTTCCAAAACCATGTACATTCTCCTATTTGCTGAAGATAACTTTTTTTTAATACGATTGGTCACTTACCTTCGTAGTGCGCATTTCTATGCTTTCCTGTGCTTACAAGATTGGCATTGTTCCAAAATCACGCACATTCTCCTACCTCCCTATTTGCTGGAGATAACTTTTTTAAAATACAATTGACCATTTACGTTCGTAGCACGCATTCCTATTCAATGGAATAGAATTACATTGTAGCTCTTGTAAGTATTAGCACGCGCTGTATCGTAGTACGTAGGCTGCGTATTTGACACATAAACTCATTTTATTAAAATAGAAAATGAAAACCCGTCCCAATTTTTCAGTGCACACAACAAATTTCCAGGGTCATATGGCGTACCACCTGGGGGCGCTCCATAGTTTGAGAACCATGGGGATATAGGACTGCTGATGTTAGAGCACAGGTGTTAAACACTACAGTGCCATCTGAACTCTACAATTCAGAAGTCTAACCTTTTCTTTTTATTGTATTGATACAAAGACAATTTAAAGTATTACAACATTCTATACACAACCAAAAAAGGAAATGAAAATAATAAATAAAAACATTCTACATTTCTTGTGCAAGACAGAATGCATCACATAATAAGGGCGTCTCCCACCTGACCTGCTGAAACATAACTGCGACAAATCACAAACTGATTGTAATATAATT